TACCTCCATCATTTCCCAACGGAGTTCGATCCCGTCTCCTACACATTGCAGAAGCCATAGGAATACGTACATTCAACCCTAATTTATGTGTTCAGAAGAAATTCGTGACACCCCTATCTCTTCCGTGGCCGGATATGACGTAACTAATCATTGACATATTTTTATTTTTATTATTTTTGATTTATTATTTTATTTTATTTTTTTACACATTTGCTTATTACGTAATGTTTTTGACGTTTTTGATGATTATTTGAATTCTATTCACCCACACTTGACCTACTTTAGTTATCATATTTTACAAATTTTCTTACTACTATCAGTACACCTGTTTTCCTATTATCCACTTGAACTTTTGCCTATTAGATGTAGTTACGTAATCTTTTTCATTTCATTGTGATTATCACTCAAATTGCCTTGATTGGTTTAACATTTTCATATAAATATTCATGTATATTAGAGTAAAACCTGATGACGATCTAATCGAAAACAATATTGTTTGCTTATATGTGTTGTTCTAATTTACCAAAATGACTCACTCCACTTGTCAGTGATTTCGTGAATTTCTGCCATGTTTTTGTTTGGCTGCATCTAGCTTTCTTCCAATCTACTCCTACACCGCAAAACATAGCTCGTCGCAGCAGTCGGTGGTTAGCCATTCGTAACATATGTCCCAACCACCTTAGCTGATGCAGTATCACTAATTCATCTATTGATTTGCCATCCGTAACCAGAACTCGTTTCCTAACGACAGCATTGCTTACACGGTTTTTTTCATGACACACGAGCAATGCTTCAGTGATATTGATGATCGACGACTAGTGACCTACGAATGTCCTCTACTCTTAACGGCCAAGTCTCGCATGCGTGCAGTAGTATTTAGTGAACTGCTGCATGGTACACTCGTCCTTCGACTTGCAAACGTATACCTCGCCTGCGCCATAGGTGACGCAGGTTGGCACGCAAGCCATAACCACTGATGAGAATCCCCAGATACGTGGAGCGGTCTACACGTTCGACTAGTTCACTCCCTGACACTAGTTCACCCCCTATCACAAGTTTTTCACTCTCTATCTCTAGGAATAAGCCGACTTCTTTTGATTGCACCATTCCTCCTGCTTTGACTAATACTAATAGTGCTGCTGATGTGGCTAATACTACAACCGCTAAAACTACTACCGGCACTACGAATACTACTACTACTACTTCCGTAAATAAAAACACGAATACTAGTTTTGATAGTGATAACAGAATCAGTAGTGTTGGGGATCTTAGTTCAAGTAGTAGTATAAGTAGTAGTAATAGTTTATTCTCAAATGTTTTTTTGCTATTTTTTTACAACTGTGGAGTGTGTAAATATCACTTTGGATAATGAAAACGATAATACATTGACACCATTAACTCCTGGTACTACAACGACTAATAATAATTTTATTGGCAATCATACACCCAGTTAGAATAATAGTGTTATTTTTGGTGGTCCTACACTTAGACTTCGTTTTGCTAAAGAAACTGGTCAGTATACAACCAGTGGATTAACCCGCTTCGAATGGCGATAAAAATGTTGTTCTTTCATCAAGTGGGATGAGTTGTGCTACATTTGATGCATCTCATGCTACTGTTGCTAGTAATAATAATAATAATAATAATAATAATAATAATAATTTATTCTCAAATAACAAACATGTTACAAGAGACATGCCAATTTACAGGCAAGATCAAAATGTTAAGATTAACAACATATTTCTTTTAAAACGGTATACATTTACTGAAACATTTCACAAGATTCATTGTGTTCTTAAAGATGGAATGTTCAATGCGAATAATTGGCGCAAGTTACGGAGCGTGCGTTAGGACAATCATCTTATGGACTGAGAAACGATTCATGGTAGAGATAGGTTTGCATATAACAAGAATGGATGCGGTAAATGTACAAAGGTATGTTTGATATTCATCAGCTAATGATTTTACATGTTCTTGGGTAGGGTAATGTGATGCTTAGAAGTATATGAATAAAGAATTAAAGATTTGCACAAACGAATGTATTGTATTTAGAATTCGAAATCAAGCATTTCACAACAACAAGAAGTTACTAGTTCATTCAAACACCACATCCGCCGCAGCTTAAATTGGAATGTATATGTCTGTAATCAATTGTACGTCTTCTTCTCAAATTCATCCTGTGTCTGTCCGACAGTGTATTGGATAAAGGCTCTGTATTATCTAGAATGCTCTCATTAGTATTAGAATTAACAACCGAAATTGGAACAGACTCACCTGGCTCTTGGAATTGTATTTGATCAACATGTCGATTGTGTGTACTTAATTCATTGATATCTAGAAGTCGCACCATAGATTTCCCAACATTCTTCAGAACAATCCCCGTGGATGGTCGAAGATCATTGCCACGATAATATGTAACTCCTGCAGACTCCAAACATCTCATATTCGACCGAGGAATTCTTCCTTTTAATAGTTTTGATGGAGTCTCTTTCGTCACTGAATGTCTGGCATTTCTATATTGCAGTAAAAAGGTATCTACTCCCCTCTCCAGCTCATTAAATGTTGAGGCGGCAATAGAATCAATAGCAGTTTTCATACCTCCACTGCACTTAGCACACGTGACTATCGAATCTTTAAGTAAAGCATCAGAATTTTCTTCAGAAACTAGGAGAGACAACTCCACTTTAAGCCTTTTCAAATTCTTTAAACCCAGTATTGACAGTCCCGTTTCGCTAACTAAGAATTCACATGGTATGTATGAGGAATCATCATCTCTTATTAGCAATTCACAACATCCTCGTATAGGCAGTCTGTGTCCAGTAATCCCCAATATTGATACTTCAGTGGGTCGTATCACAACGTTCGGATCTAACGATTTCAGGTTCTTGAATGAAATAATGGACTCTATACTGCCTGTGTCCACAATAAAGTCATGAAATGAACCAAGTGATGTACATAGTCGCTTTTGAATATGAGCATTACCTTTCGAAATGGTAGTTAAAGATAAATGATCATTAGGATCAGCTGAATTATTGGAATCTAAATTACAAGCTTTAGTACTACTTGAGGCAAAATGAACAGTAGCTTTGCATACTGCTTGAATGTGTCCTATCTTACCACATCTAAAACATTTAGCATTACGAAATGTACAATAATAGCGAGAATGAAGTTTTCCACATGATAAACATTTGCCAAACTTGGTCTCACCTTTTTGATTTCCTTTGTAATTCTTTTTTGAGACACCGTTCATTTTTACACGAGAATAGGAACCTCTGTTAAACGAACACAATTTTGATTGACCCTGAGATTGCTTTTCATCATGACAACTAATCAAAGTATTGGAAATCTTCATCGACTGAATATCAAGTTCATTCAACGCCTCGTAGTTAATGCACACAGTTCTAACATCTTGAAAGGAACAGTTTGACATTCTTAACAGCTCTCTTTCCAAACTAGGTATGTTAATTCCTGCAATTAATCGGTCTCTCAGCTGCACATGAAGTTGATCACCAAAATTACGTTTGACAGCCTGTTTCTGCAATTCAAGAATGAATTCCTTAACATTTTGGTCATTTTGACGAATCATCTTATGAAATTTTGCTCTTTCACGGCATTCAAAACCAGGGCACTTCACATGATTCAATAATAACTCCTTAAGCATTGCATAGGGAAGTGAAATAGGTTTTTCTGGATATGCCAAGGTTTTCAATAAGCTGTACGCTTCTTTTCCGATGAATGTTAGGAAATGAGCCACAATTTTATCATCTTTGACATCTTTCCTGGTCATACTCCAGATTTCAAACCTTTCCAAATAATCTTCAAAAGCTTCAGAAGTAGAATGAATATCTAGCTGTTCCATTACAAGTTCCATCGCGACGCCACTGTGATGCTTAGAAGTATATGAATCAAGAATTAAAGATAGGCACAAACGAATGTATTGTATTTAGAACTCGAAATCAAGCATTTCACAACAACAAGAAGTTACTAGTTCATTCAAACACCACATGAACGCATTCCTGATTCATCAAGAAATTATTATTAATAAAGTGAAAATTCTGATATCAATTGTTACTAATATCTGATAGGTTAGACTAATCAGTTCAAGCCTTAAACGTTGAATCAAAGATATCCGATAGGTGTACGTTATTAGTCAAGATTCTATTTGATTATATGAAGGGATACATTAATGAATGAGTTTAAGCGTATTTCGTCATACAGTTAGCCAAACTCGAATGACATGCTAAATAATAACTTACTGATATTCTGTCGTGACCAGAAATCCAATTGTAGTGAATGAGAACACAGATGGGGCAACCGAATTGTATTTAACGAAAATTACAGAGTTACTCAGTAAAATCGGAAAACCATATCGTAAATCGTTCATTTGCAAAAGATCAGTTCATCCTATGTAACTGGACTGTTCCTGTTGCCAAACATCAATCCATTGTCACTATTCATGCGTTTCATACAAATTCCATTGTTTTCTAACTCTTCCTTTCTTGATCTTCCCCCCATATTATGCTACCAGACTTTCCGTTGACACTCACGTTATATACTACTCATAAGTAGTTCGCACCACAGCACCACACAATAACTGTAGGTGTATGGCCTAGTTAAAATTCGAAAAAAATGTACTACTTGATTGTAGAATTTCAAATCGATTTGCATTTGATGATTAACCTGGAACTTATGTATTTTAATTATCTTTTGATAGTAGTTACTTAAAAAAAACATAAATTTGTGTTTAAATGATCTTACTGTAGCGCTTCTGACTCATGTTTCTGAATCGAAATTATGTTTTCGATACTTATAACTCCAACATTTTTAATGAATCTAAACATAATTATACTCATAACTGAGATTATCATTTGTTTAAGGTTTAACTAGCAGTTATTTTTTCTAATGTTTAAACAATTTCCTCACTTTTAACCGGCTAAGATATTTTCGATCGTAAGTTTTTTTTTTAAATTTTATTTGATTCGCATTTGTTTGACAATTAGGTTGAACGAGCACTTGCACAAAGTCAATCTATTATAGTCATTATGGATGCACCCAATTATATCAAGGGTTATAGATATGAATTGTATTGTGTAGCGAAATCTTATAAACAACAACATATAGTTTTATTCAGTGATATCCCGGCTGAAATTTCAAAACAGTGGAATTCAAAAGTAAATCCTAGTTATTTATTACTCACTACTTTGTATACTTATCTGTATGTTATTATCATCATTATTGTTACTTGGTCGTGCTTGCATGCATTCTCTGTAAAAAACAGTAGTCCTATCATACAAAGTAGATCTTTCAAAAATGCGATAAATTCTAAATTGGTCAATTCCAGGTCTGGAGTCAAGATTATGCTGTAATGTTGAGGCACTAAAGTCTTTATCAGGTATAATTAGTATCTCATGATATAGTAAGTCCCTGTAGATAAAGGAAAGGGTTAAAGGCGGCACGAAACTAGGTCAGTACTAGCCTAACGAATAGAAATCGTTATTTCCTTAGCAGTGTTACTTTCAAGCTGTTTGTAAGAACTACACAGTACTATTTTATCAAGGGTTAACTGGAAAAAATACTTAGACTTTAAAAACTCAATAGCAATTTAGTCTGCCTCTTACTTTATACTCTCACATAGCCTAGATAAACCTCGGAATTCCTCGTCATACGTTCGTTAGATATGCAGGTACTTCTTAGTTGAAGCTCTAGGTGTTTTTCTTAAATCCTTTACACTGTTCTAATTTTTAGCTTATATATTATACCTCGTTACATATTTACTCAAAAGTACATTTTCAATCCAATTTTTTGTCAGTAGTAAATTTACCACTAAAATGTAATGATTTGTTGCAATTGTTACTAGTTAACATATGTGATTACTACCACTGATTATCGAAGTAGACTAATTCACATTATAACGATCACGAGATGTTTTACTGGACAAATACCAATCATATGTTATTGATTGTTATGGTGATTATAACAATGCAAACATGTTTTTGATATTTTTCTTAAATATTAATCAATTTATTTGCTAAATTTTCAACATTAGATTAATCGGTATCCTGATGATCTACTTTCGGATATGATAAGCAGATTTGAACGTCCTCAATCTACACAACGTTGGGATAATCCACTTATAACTATTGAACCTCATCTTTGGGACTCACCAAGCACTGACAATATGGAGTCAGTAATTATACAAATAAAGCAGTTGCTGAACAACAAAGAAAAAAGAAAGATACAGCCAAATAAATCTACACAACTAACAATTATTTCATCATCTAACTATCTACAAGTAAGTTTATAGATACTCTCTTTCGATGCATTCAAAACGTAGTTTCTAAGTCACAAATGGAGATGCTACATTTTAGTGTTGGCAATTCACAGTCACTCCGAACCAATAGAAAAAGTGTCTGATTAAGCACTGGCTTGTCACTTTCAGGTCAATAGAAAAAACCCGATAAGCTGTCTTCGTAAACTTACAGTTGGAGCGTTGACCAACAGCCTGGCATTCATTAACCCCAACACAGCTGGTTTCGACGGATACTTCAAATGTTTTTGTTTTATCATTATAATGCGAATGTTTTGTCTATTGAAAAAAGCCACGTGTACTAACCTCTGCGTAAAAATGATCCTGCTAATGCTGTCTCCTCTAATCTTACTTTGAGATCCAACTAGTTAGTCTAACCGTCTATGGAAGTTATTTAAACTAAACTATGCATTGGTCATTTTGCTCTACCGATGGAAGTGAGCTTAAGACAATCACTTACACAATATTTCGCAGGAAAAATACAGAGCTTTTTCTCCTTTGATGAGTTTCATAATGATTACACGTTACGACATTCTTCGTGGTAAAAAACTCATTGTTTATTAAAATTACCTTATGATAACTGCTAAACAATATATTGAACATATGGAAATATATGTTTCTTCTATCAAAGACGATTTTAGAGTTATAATGAATTCCTATATGCAACATTTTGAATTTCAGAATCTAGAGCATGTCACTCAGCAAGTCGTAGATCATATTCTTCGAAGTCAAACAAATGGTCTTTCATTAGTCGAACTCCCTACGTGTTTTCAAAACGAACATAACCGAGATGTAGTGCTACAACTTACCAATTCAGATACTAAATATATGATTGGCAATCTAATCCGACTTAAACGCCGATATATTGCTGTACAACGACTGAAATTCGATCAGCTTAAATCTCTACCGGATAGTGCCTCGATTGCAGCAAACTTTATGCAGTTTATTTCGTTCAGTGCGGATTCATATGATGATGATGCCAGTTGAAAACATTGGCAAAAATCTTCGGAACACCTTCAACGGATACTTCATTTTCGTAAACGTTCATAATATTTATGAAGATAAGAATCACAAGTGATACTGTTATGTAACATAATATACTTTGCTGCTGTAGAATAGATCTTTTGCACAGATTTACAGTATTAAATACTGTATTGCATAAATATGAAAATTGCAATTTGAAACTACACTTATGAAATAACAAAACATGAGCCATAATATGAAACAAATACTGATAAAAAAGTAGAGTATTGGTATCGAGTATAGATGGCCATTCTGGCCTTATTAACACTACAGTTTATCATATTAAAACATTTGGCAAGTATAAAGGCTTGTTTATTCTACTTTGAGCCATGTTTTCTAAACCAAAAAGGCGGGTTAAGGTTCAGGTTGACTTTAAACAAACTGAAGGACGTCAGCCCTGAAATTCATTCACCTCACATAGATTTATGTAGTAAGTATTTGATTGGTAAAGAGCTAGCAAACTTCTTTCGGGCTCGGCAGCCAGGTTCCGTGGTTGATAATTGTTACAACTAGCCCGGTCTTATAAAATCTTTCATAAACACTCTCCGAGGATGTATGTACCGAAAACTATCACACCTGTACATCTTTAACAGCGCTAAAATGAGGATTATCCACAACAAGACTCCGTTTCCATTCCTACATTTTTTCTTCCATCCTGATTAGTAATCCTACTCTGGCTCCTTTTACGTGTATGCATTATTAAAGATCCTATAAGAAATGCTTTTTTTGGTCTTCCGAAATCCGTTTCCAAACATTGTGCGAAAACTGTTAGATAGGATAGAATTCAGAAGGTAAAGCTTTAGATACATAATTCGGACATGGATTGCTTCCTTAACCCGAAGTGGCTCATTTGAACTTAGGCATGCTTCACGTATCCAGATACTCAACAGCAGTATATTGTCATATACGTCGTAGAAATTACACTTTCTTCGTCTAACCTTTTAGGAATAGATCTCCATCCTTGTGACTTATTCGTTGGAGATAACAAATTTATCTAGTACGGACGCAGAAAATGCAATGTATGATGGCATCGGGAGTTCGTCGGGAAGGATCTGGGTAAATATCTTGACTGATCTTAAGGATCATGTTGACCACTTCACTTACTATTATTTCCGGTGGGTTGCTGTCAGAACCTACTAGAATATAAATAGCGTTTGATTACTTGTAGGGAAAGTGGCATGCTCGTCTATAGGAGGACTGTGAATAGAGTCGCCGACCTCGCTGATAGTTACGAAGTTTTGGTAACATACTAAAAAATGATCACAATCTCTCGTCTCATACAAACCAACAAATCAGTTACCCGAGTACTAGGGTCACATTCATTCTAATCTTGCATCTGTTATTATCTCATACTTTTGATCTTGTTGGTTTTGCCTAGATTACATTTCTCATGTTTAGCCGTCATCGCATTCAGTATTATTTACTCCTTACTTGTTATCTTGTTACTCCCTTTTCACGCTATGCTGATGTGAGTTTCGACAATTTGAACCGATATACACTGGTGCCAAGTCCTAACATCAACCATTAAGTCATTGTTTCACAGATAATTGGGTAGGAGTTTGTTTGTTGTTAAGATATTTTGGTGCTTCATGGATGTCTGTGTCGTTTTCGAAACATTTTCCAATTATATCTGACCAGCGAAGAAGCAATTATCAGTTATTAATTAGAGGTTAACAAAATAATAATAAATACTTTAAGCCAACGTATCGGTTTCATTCACCTATAAACAGTTGGGAGTTAGAAATATTTGATTCATGTATAAAGAAATAAAACACATATCGCATTAATGGACAGCTATATCAGTTTAACTCATGTTTATAAATGAATAGGTGAATTCAATGAATTGCCCTATTTATTCAAATGTTTAATCGTTCTGAATTATTTTTTCAAATTTACTAATAATAAGTAGAAAAAGGTAGCTTCACAAAGAAAAGGCTGAAACGCATACTACAATGATTACGAGGTAAAAAAAAACAAAACAGGAAAGAGAAAAATTTGAATGAAAGTGTGATATATGTTTACGTGCGTGTCTGTCTAACTTCAGAAGATCGGTATATATTTATATTTAAATAATGATGGTGGTATATTCAATCATAGATTGATTAGTAAACAGAAGTATATATATATATATATCGTGTATGATGATGTATGGAAAAAAAATGGATTTCGATCATCGCATTGTTTCCTATAAATGTAAATAAGTAGGCACTGTTGTTGATACAGTGAGTGTTATAAATTTACTGATATCATTTATATATCTGAAGAAATAGCAACTACTCATATAATATATAGATGTATATATGAAAAAAAAAAGAAATTAATTGGAACAACAGTTAATAATAATTACTTGATGAAAAGAAATATACATTACAGATAAAAGGTTTAAAAAAAAGAAACAAATTGTTCTTCAGAAAAGATTCATGCTCAATAGTGTATTCATTATGGTTGGCAGTAAAAGTAAACGTTATGTGATTTAAATAAAAGAGGGACCCAAATAAGTAATGTTATTATTATTATTCTATGTGCTTCTACAAATGTGTTTTGTTTTAAATAATAATCTTTCAGATGTGTTCTACAGGATAATGATGAATGTAGCATGAAAAATAGATCAAAGTTTGTGTTTAGTTTGTGAAATATCAAATTGTCAATATTATAATATGATTACCTATATTTTAGTAAAAGAGATATACACTGTGTTATTTCTTATCTAAGCATGTTTAGTACTTCAATTTGTGTTCCTCTTGTCAGCAACATTTATTTGATCACACAATTTGATGAAACACAGTTTGTTAGTAAGAAAGTGAATTTTATAAGCTATATAACCTGAGGCTGTATAAACCATGATTAATTAGATTGTAAGTAGAAAAGAAACTTCACAGTAAAATATGGTTTTGGTTTTTTTTTCTAAAAAAAACAAACAAGATAATAGAAGGAAGAGAGGAAGCCTAAACAGTTTATGTCTTTAAATCATCCGGAAACAGCCTCTAACTGAAAATGTGAACTACAGGGAAAGATGAAGGGAGAAATGTTTAGATCATTCATTTCTATAATTGTAGTGAGTGTAAAAATCCCAATTTCGTTACAATCAACATTTTGTTGAGATTCAATCACATCAATTTGTTGTCTGTAAATCAACCTTTACGCGTACCGAATTCTTTACGACGAAATCCCTGTAAAAGCATTTTAAAACATTTATTTGAAATAAAACTGAATGGTATGTATACAAATTCAGTGTTTGGAATACAAATCAGTTACAGTAATAGCCGGCAAATTGATTCTTGTATTGATTCACTTGTATTCTGTTAATATAGCATTATGCACACTACTAAAATTCGTCTCTTAAAAATACTTTGAAGCCTCGTGCAATTAGGAGTTTTGAGTTAGAATTTGAGATGTACGCAAGACGATTTAAACCTTTTGTCAGTGTTATAAACGTCAATATGAAAATGAACAGCATTTTCTTTACGTTTGCTTTCAAGAAAATTGGTGATTACCAAAATTTAACATTAAGATGTGATTGTTAACATTAGGCTTTGACTGACTTAACACTTCGGAAATCTACGTTCCTATTGTTACGTTCATTATAAAATCTAGAACAAATATATTCCAGTTTCTAACTACAATGCTGAGATTTAGGTGTCATGGCTTTTCAAATTTCTTACATAACCATCTAATTATGAAATGAATATTCTCGTCTAAACTTTGTGATAACCTTCTTACTTATGAGTTCACAGAGACTAATTAGTTGATAGTTTAGTATTCGCCGACAATACACTAAAGAATTTGTAAACAATAAACATATAACTGAATATAGATGAACCTAAGTTAGAAGTAATATCAAGTAATTGGTTCTAACCAACAGTTGTAACCATGTATAAAAGTATTACGACTTATAACGACCACTATGAGAGACTTTTTTGTGGTTTTCTTTACAGATACGTTGTAGTAAACAGTACATTGATATTTGAGAATTCAAAAGTTTTTAACACTGATGTGACCAAGGAAAGTTCATGTAATAAACTCTTAAACATGAATATGTATATAATGGATGGTAAAAAATAGTCTATAAATTCCAACACCAAGTTCTTAATGAGTTACGGATAAATATATTCAGTTAAATTCACACACACACACACAGTTTAGTAAAATACTATCTCTGAGAATCGGTACTGCATGCAAGAAGTCGTACTAATTATTTGTTAATCTAATCAGGTGCAAAATTGTGATACTTTTAGCTAATCAGTAATTTTACACACAAAAACATTTATCACAAACCGAGATACTATTATAAGTGCATGGCAAGTAAAAATGTTTTTGGCAAAATATTTTATCGATAAAAATATGCTTATAAATATACTTATTGAGATCTATAATATAATGTAATCTTACTTACTTCTTGTCTTTCCCGTTGATCATAATAAAAGAAATCGTCGAAAATAGATAATGTGTGTGAATATGTGGCAAGTACTTCCATTACTTGTTTGCCTCGTTCCAAGGGAAGTTCTGTAGTGTCACGAGAGTGAGTTACTGGTTTATTATCATTTGTCTCAATACGAATATGTCTCAATGCAGTATTAGGAACATCTTTTACAAATATCCATCGAACTGAGAATTTACCTTGCCACTTATCTTGAGCCCAAACACTAGCTCTAGCATTATAATCAACACGAGAAACCATTTCAGCCATCCCACAAAAATGTCCAGATCCATTGACTGAAAAAAACAAATATATTGGATAGGCGTGATTGGCTTCTGCAAACGCTGTGTCAAGCTTCTTGTTGCCTAGTTCTGTTGAACACCAAATAGAGTATTTAATCGAACGATGAATATCATCCTCAGAAAACGACTTGATTACAAAGAATCTGGCTTTTTCTATATGCGTATCGAAATCACTGGGGTTGATTACCTTAGCCAAGCGTTGATGCAGAGCTTCCGACTCACGTTGAAAAGCCTGTGCAGTTCTGTCTGAGGTTAACAGAGATGTTGGATTATCTGAAGAATGGTCACCATTATTTAAAGTATTCTTCAACTCAGAATTAGGTTCCGCTAAAGAACGTAAATTTCCTGACTGATCGCCATTGTTTATTCTATCCTGTTGTGTTAAATGCCCATTATTACATGAAGCATTTGCCATTAAAGAATTAGTCTTGCCAACTGAGTAGTTCCCGGCAGAAGTATGGAAAGACCTGTTTACAGATGTAAGATTGTGAGGATTAGATCTTTTCGCTGACCATCCTATAGAGTTTTGAATAACTGCAGCTGACCCTTTGGGTGGTTGTCCCGCTATATTGGCCCAAGTTTTGGTACGTGGTGAACTACTGACGGATGTAGCAATAGCTGATGGTACAGGTCTGTTATTAGCTGAAGTAGATAATCTACTTGGATTGGCTTGTGATCTGGATATATTATCGGACTTATCCATAGAACACATATTATTATTCTAAAGAAAATGAAAAAAAAATCCCAGAAATACACTTCAATGTACACCTAAACAAATAAATTTACTATGTACATATTTTGGGTCAGACCTATTCAGTAATAAGTCTAAATTCATTTATTCAGAATTAGATGATGTTTACATATAAAAGGTACTACTGAATGATAAGTGGACTAAAGTTCGGAAGACTATACGTATTAGATTTTAAATGAGACTTTAATTTTTAACTGAGTAAATACATTATCACTTTTTTAGTTATGATACTAAAACTAGGACCTATTCAAAACCTGTTGCATGCTTATGAGTAAAAATCCACCTTTTTTACTTAGACGCAGAGCAGATACTAGCATATGTATGAATTGATCCAAGTTGACACACTATTAGCAAAGCGAGACGAAATCATCAGAGCAAATTACAGAGTATTATAGGTAAGGACAGTATTAGTGGTAATAGAAGACTAGGCATCAAAGATAGGATTCAAGAATACATGGATTAGAGAAATAAAAATAAAAAAATCATACAATAACCTAGAAAGATAGCAATTAAATAAAGACAAACATTAAATGCAATTGCACCATTGCGAAGAAGTTCAAGAAATATCACCCCTTGGTTACGATAATTTTGTGAACGCCGGCCAGGTAGTCTGTCCCTACCTACGTGGTTAGTCCAATAATCAGTGTCTTTATAGGCTGACATATACGAGGATTCTTTTCAAATAATCTATGATCGAATACCAGTAACATAAGAATATCCTCTGCTCTTAAAGGCTACGTTTTGCAGCCAAAAAGTAGAATACAGCGAACTATTGCACGGTTTTAATGCAAAGGATTATATCCTATGGATGTGGTTTTAATACGAAACAGACTTTCATGGGTCGCTGACACAAAAGCTTCGCATTCGAATTCTATCAATCCTAAACGCGCGATTCGGTGAACAAAAGCAAATACAAAAGTAGTTATAATAAACAGGCTGGCCAGAAAAACAACAATACGTAACTATATCGACTTACTCCGTTGTTTTCCTTCATATGAGACCACTGTGTTACTGAAGTATTGTGTAGCTGTACATTACTTCCATTCCCAACAACTGAAGTTTCATAAAACGGGACATGCAACTGATTTAACTCATTATCACTACAAGTTGCTGTTTCAACTCCGCGTCCAACGTTTATTCGACCAAATTCATCGATTAGATGTGAGATTTTTTGGCACTGATTTACCGCAGCATATGAATCCAACATATTAGCAGCAGCACTACAAGGTAATCCATTCACCAGATGTGACTGAGTTCCTTGAGATGGAAATGGATAAGCAGGTTTTGAATTAGGATGATGGTACATAAATGAAACACCATGGTCTTCTGTAGTACCTTGTTGTTGCTGTTGAGAATAAGATGCAGGTGGCGCAAAAACCGTATCTCCAATATTTGACGATGTATAATATGTATGTGAGTCTTTTGATAAAATATTTGCTTCGGATGGACCTTGAGCAAAGTGATTGATTGCATCGTTTTCACCACAAGGCGACAATGTTAATTGTTGTCCATTTGAAGATGTCCAACCCTCAAAAGGAACAACTGCACCAGCAGACCTATCAATAAATGAAGAGTTTGGATAGTGAGTTGGAGGAACGGTGAAAGGCCAATTAGGTAGATTACCAAGGAGTCCATTAAGTTGATTGGCATTAGTAACAGATGGTCTTGAAGAAGAATCAAAGTACATAGTTGCAAAATCAGCTGCTCTGTTATTCATTGAGGGATTTGGTAAGAAAGACCGGCCTGTTTGGGCAGAAACTGCATTTGGAGCACCCTGAGGAAGTGGATAAGCTGCAGCTGCCGCTGCAGCAACTGCAGCGAGCAAAGTCGCAGCATAAGGAGATGACAAAGAACTGGATGGGATATTACAAGACGCTGATAAATCCCCAGAATTCGAACAGGCTGTCATTGCTGAGTGCGTACGCATACTATTCATCATATTTGAAAGAGCATTATAACCATCAGTATTAGACCAATCATTTCTTCCAGAAGCCACTGCTGCTAAAGCTGCAGCGGCAGCCGCCGCAGCCGCATTTTCCGCATTGGGAGTTGTAGCTGAGTTGGCCCCATTACCTTCACCCATTCCGTAAGATAAATGTGAGAAAAGTGTCCCATAGTAAGCATCTGCTGAATTATTGATACCATATATATTCTACAAAGCACATATACAAAAATTACAAGATCGCTCTAAACAATCAGTTAAATCAATACGTGATTTTAAAATTATTTAGTCTAAAGCCTAAAAATAACTTGACCCGAATTCCAAACTAACGCTTGAAAAGAAAGTAGTATGAAGTGATAAAAATTCAGATTAAACCGCACACAACCTATGATCTATGTTTCGAAATTTTGACCAAAAGATCTTATCTCTCGATCTAAATAGCCGAGTATTAAATATTAAATGTCACTCAGCAACCGTGTAGACCGAAATGTTTTAGGTAATAGATCATATTTATTGAATGAAGATTAATGGCATTATTCGACTATTGACATTTCAGAAAGGAGAGGAAGGAATGAACCTGTGACTTGTAAGTTGAGACTAGTCCAAATTAACAGACTGAAATTAGGTAGACGAGTGGTAAAGAGTTCAAAAAACTAACAAATTTTTTCCGTTCCAAAAAAATGAGTACATATGTTCAGGTTGCCATACTACATTAGCACAGAGAAGCAAATGCCAGTTCAGATCCCACAGTGGTAGCGATAGTACAAGTATTAGCAGTAATGGAGAAGATTAGGGTTCAAAGATATGATTCGAGAAGCATAATTCAGTGAGATAAATTTAGAAAGCGATGCCGATTTCCGTTTCCGGCGGTAAGGGCTGTCCAAAAAGGGATTTTAAGAGCGGAGCTAATACTCAAAAATCCTTTCATAAAAAGGCCGTGCGTAACAGGCCTCAAACAGTTGTCCCTTGGGCTCTGCGGCCACGCTCCCAGGTCGTTAAGACTAACGCCTATCTACGTTCCTTTTCAGGTTTTTCAAAAAACACCCCTCCACGATGTGGGCAGCCGGGAAGTAACATCCGACCTCATACCCATAAAAGCACACGAGACCGAATTGGTCGCACTCAAATCCTTTCTACACCTCTTAATAACTCTTATCTCCCCGACCAACCCTTCTTTTGATCGTTTATCACCTCACGCCACTGAAGCAAACGGTATTAGCTCACGAAACATTATTCCTGGTCTCTTGAAACCCCGTACCAAATTACATATTGAAGCTTTTAGTGTTCGGACCCCATGCCAATTAGGGCAACAGGCTTCATTAGCTAGAACTCTGGAATCCCGGGCAATCGATGTACTTTGCGTCTCCGATACGCGCATACAAGATCCGAGTAAAATCATCGATTTGATTTTCCCTCGTGCAGATAGAGACACAACAAGATTTACGCTTCGTGTTTCTGGAAGCCCTAATGCTGATTTTTTTGGCCTCGCCGGCGTAGGTATAACATTAAATCCTAGGGCAGAACTAGCTCTCTTAGACTGGGTTCAGATAGACAGTCACTTATGCGCTGTCCCACTAAACAGGACGGTACGGACTCGGTAGAATAGGGACACTCGCCGTCGCCTCCTCGTCGAAGCTGCTTACGCCCCCACTGTCTGCATTTCAGACGATATGTAAGACAAGTTTAATAGAAACCTCTCTAAACTTCGCCTAAATGTTAAGCGCTCTGATATAGTAATAATGGCTGGTGATTTTAACGCACAGGTAGGTAGACTCAGCGAAAAGGAAAGACGTGGGTGGATCTTATGATGTCGCGGCTAATAGAACAGATAATGGCGACCGTCTGCTGCAACTATGCTCAGATAATCGCCTATTCTTAGCAAATACTAACTTTAAGCATAAGGTAAAATATCTTTTGAACTGACGATTTCCAAAGCCGACCCAACGATGGACCCAACTAGATCACATCACTAAAAGCCATCGGTAGTGAGGATCTGTTGAAGACTGCCGCTCATTCTGGAGTACTTGTTTCAGTCAGTCAGTAAGTCAGATTCAACGTAGAACTTCATACGTAGGTACATCAGTTCATGTTGCCATACCACATCAGCACAGAGATATAATTGTCAATTCAAATCCAATAGTAGTAGAGGTAGTAAAAGTATTAGAAGTAATCGGAGAGGTTAGGATAAGATGATATTATTCAAGAAGTATGATTCAGTGAGAAAAGTTTAGAAAGTCAAAACTAAAGGTGTTGAAGATCCCAGAAGATTAGGATTTGAGAGAGCACAAAGCATGAATGCACCGGCGCCATTGCGAACGATTTTGAGCCATGTCATTCAAGGTCTCTAACCATCGATTATTATCATCTCGCGGACCCCAACCAGGTAGTCGACAATTACCGACATGGCTAAGTCCACTCGTCAATGACTTCATGGATTTCTGCCATGTTTTGATTTGGCCGCCCCTAACTTTCTTCTAACCTATTCCTACACTACAAATCAAAGCTCGACGAGGCAGTCGGTGGTTGGGCATACGCAAAACATGTCCCAACCACCTCAACTGATGAAGTTTCATTACTTCATCTATTGATCTGCCATTCTTACCTAGCACCCGTGTCCTAATAACAGCGTTGCTCACTCGGTTGTCCCACGATATACGAGCAATGCTTCGAAGACACCTATGATCGAAAACCATCAACCTACGAATATCTTCTACTCTCACTGGCCATGTTTCACAGCCATATAGTAGGACGGAGCGAACTACTACGCAGTACACTCGTCCTTTAGTCAGCAAACGTATATCTCGCCTACGCCATAAGTGACGCAGGTTGGCAAAAGCCAATCGAGCTTTCTGTATCCGTGCTGAGATTTCGTCAGTCACCAGGCCATCGGCACTGATGAGACTCCCAAGATAAGTGAAGCTGTCTACACGTTCGACTACTTCACTCCCTATCACTAGTTCAGGTACTGATGCAACCCAAACTTGAAGCAACATTTCGCATTTCGAGGGGGAAAACCGCATTCCGAACATGCTTGCATTGTTGCTTGGGGTGGTCAGAAGACTCTGCATTTTGTCAGCGTCTTCACCAAGTAGGACTATGTCATCGGCATATTCTAAGTCAATAAGCGAGCCACCTGGTAGAAGGACCACTCCTGAAAATGCAGACGAGGATAAGGTTATTTCTAAGAGCATGTCTATGATAAAATTAAACAAGAGTGGAGAGAGTGGACATCCCCGACGGACACCACTCGATGTAGAGAATTCTAAAAACAGTTCGCCATAAGCTCTCACTCGACCAGTGATATTCGAGTAGAGAGCTAGTATAAGGTTAATGTACTTCTTTGGTACACCTTTCAATGACAGACACTGCCACAGAACCTTACGATCAACAGAGTCAAATGCCGCCTTAAGGTCCAGGAAAATAACTATTGTAGGACATCTAAATGTGTGTCTGTGTTCCAGGACCTGTCGTAGCGTGAAGATGTGGTCTATACAGCCACGTCTAGGTCGAAAACCAGCCTGGTTTTCTCTAGTCTGCCCTTCACGAGCTTTCGTTAGGCGTCGAAGTATTATTGAGGCCAACATTTTAGATACTATATTAGTTAGACTTATTCCCCTGTGATTGTCACAAAAAGACTTTTGTCCTTTCCTATAGATTGGGACAATCAGTGATTGAGACCAGTCGGATGGGATTACGTACAGTTTCCAGATTCTACCTAAGATCTCAGTCAACCTAGCTGCTAAAACTGGACCACCATCCTTAAATATCTCAGGGGTCAGTCTATCAGGATCTGAAGCTCGCCCTCGCTTCAGATTTCCTAACTCATTCTTAACTTCGTAAGTAAAACCCTAAGAGGCTTCCTTACGGTGTCTTTCCGACGCGCAGTAAGCCTCAAACAAATATGCACACGCACTAGGGCATGATCTGAATCCAAACATGTGCTCCAGAACGAGCGACAGTCCTCTATCGAACCCCTCCATCGGTGGCTGATGGCAATGTGATCTAGTTGAGTCCAACGTTGAGACGACTTTGGAGGTCGCCAGGTCAACAGATGCTTTTCCTTATGCCTAAAGTTAGTGTTTGCTAAGAATAGGCGGTTGTCTGAGCATACTTGCAACAGACGGTCACCATTGTCTGTTCTCTGAGCCGCGACACCATAACATCCACCTAGGTGTCTCTCCTGCTCACTTAGTCTACCTACTTGAGCATTAAAGTCACCAGCCATTATTACTACATCAGAGCGCCTAGCTTTTTGGAGGAGGTCCGAAAGCTTTCTGTGAAACTCATCTTTAACCTCGTCTGAACTGCAGTCAGTGGGGGCATAGGCAGATACGATGAAGAGGCAACGGCGTGTCCCTATCTTTCCGAATCCTTACTGTCCCGTTTAGTCGGACAGCGCACAAGCGACTATCTACTGGGATCCAGTCAAGGAGAGATTTTTCAGCTCTACGACTCAATGCTATGCCTACGCCAGCAAGACCCCGGGAAGCAGCATCAGGGCTTTCAGATACACGAAGATTAAATCGAGCTACTTCTTTATTTTGACAAGGTGAAATCAGATTAATAATTTTACTAGCGTCGGTTTTGGAAACCTGGCAGTGTGACCACAGAGCCTAAAGGACAACTTCTTGAGGTCGTTCACGCACGGCCTTTTTTATGAAGGGTTTCGTGGATTCGCATCGTTTGCATTAGGTGTGCATTGAAATAAGGGAATGTGAGTAGAGTTAATCGTGGAGATAACAGATATGTTAGGTGGTGTAGAAAGGATTTGTTTGTGACCGATTTGGTCTCGCGTGCTGTTACGGATATGAGGGCGGTTGTCACTTCCCAGCTGCCCACACCGTGGAAGGGTGTTTCTTGAGGGACCTGGAAAGGAAGAGAGATTAGTGTTGGTCTTAGAGACCCGATTGCGTGACCGCAGAGCCCAAGGGACAACTTCTTGAGGCCGGTCACGCACGGCTTTTTGATGAGGTTTTTGGAGTATTAGCTCCGCTCTTGAAAGCCTTTAGTGAGCACCCTTACCCAGGGAGACGGAAATCCGTGAGGTAGGGTGAAGTGTGACATGTTTAGGGTCGACCTCTTCTAACCCTTCCTTGTGAGACGGCAGAATCGTTGCAGATACTGGTTGTCCGAGGGAAACACCTTACTGCTGTCACACCCCTCTGCAGTCAGCAGTACGACTTCGCCCTCAAACCTTGGGTAGCTGCTTTTAGTCTCATAGTTCTCCAATCGACCTGCCTGGCATGGTAGAACCTTCAGGAACATGTGTTGCAACCAATATAGATCGGTGCGGTCATCACGATAAGCAAGGTAGCAGCTACGGTCGGGCTTGCTGGGCGCAAAAATATCGCAAGGAAACCTGTTACGGTTCTACTTAATGATAATAAAGCTAAGAAAATATTTCAGGAACAACTAGAAAAACAGTTGGGCAGCCATGTAGTAAGTGATGCCCACCCTGACGCAGCTTGGAATGATATTAAAAGGCTGTGGAAACAGCTGTGATATCTGCTAGCAAGGTAAACCATAGGGTTAGGGAGAAGCCGTGGATTTCAGTAGCATCTACTGAAATGATGGATGCTCGAAAGCTCAATTCACATGGCTCTGAGTACGGTGAGGAGCGGAGTCAGCTGAGGTGCAGTCTGATAAGAAGCCTACGCAATGATCACGAACAGTGGTGGGCGGAGAAAGAAAGAGAGATGGAAAAGGCAATGACGATAGGCAATAGTAGGCAACTATTCAGACTCATCAAGGAAACCGGTATTAGGAATCCGAATGTGAGTTCTAATATCTCGGGAAAGGATGGTCTTATTATTCATTCTCAACCCATGAGTTTGGATCGATGGGCAGAACACTTTAGGGATCAGTTCAACTGGCCTTCAGCCACACCTCGGTTGCCCACGATCTCCAGTCATCCTGAATGGCAAGTCCTCTTAGTCTTTATGAAGTTGGGAAAGCGATAGGAAATCGGAAGCGAGGGAGAGCAGCGGGTCCTGATAGACTGACCCCTGAGATATTTAAGGATGGTGGTCCAGTTTTAGCAGCTAGGTTGACTGAGATCTTAGGTAGAATCTGGAAACTGTACGTAATCCCATCCGACTGGTCTCAATCACTGATTGTCCCAATCTATAGGAAAGGACAAAAGTCTTTTTGTGACAATCACAGGGGAATAAGTCTAACTAATATAGTATCTAAAATGTTGGCCTCAATAATACTTCGACGCCTAACGAAAGCTCGTGAAGGGCAGACTAGAGAAAACCAGGCTGGTTTCAGACCTGGACATTTCACACTACGAAAGGTCACGTATGGGGCAGGCGAGATATCCGTTTGCTGACTAAAGGACGAGTGTACTGCGCAGTAGTTCGCTCCGTACTACTATATGGCTGTGAAACATGGCCACTGAGAGTAGAAGATATTCGTATGTTACTTCTTTTCGATTATAGGTCCTAGAACCAAGACACACATTCAGACGTCCTACAACAGTGGTATTTCTCGACCTTAGGGCAGCATTTGACCCTGTTGATCGTGAGGTTATGTGGCAGTGTCTGTCACTAAATAGGTGTACCAAAGAAGTACTTTAACCTTATACAAGCTCTCTACTTAAACACCGTATGCCTAACCACCGACTGCCTCGACGAGCTATGTTTTGTGGCGTAGGAGTAGGTTGGAAGAAAGTTAGGGGGGGGCCAGACCAAAAACAGGGCACAAATCCATGAAGTCACTAACAAGTGGACTGAATCATGTTGGTAGATGTAGACTACCTGGTTGTGGTCCGCGGGACGAAAGTTATCAATGGTTAGAGACCTTGAACGACATGGCTCAAAATCGTTTGCAATGGCGCCGGTGCATTCATGCTTTGTGCTCTCTCAAATCCTAATCTTCTAGATTCGTCAGCACCTCTACCTTTGTCTTTTCAACCTTATCTCGCTGAATTATATTTCTTGAATAATATCTTCGAACCCTAGTCTTCTTTATTAACATTGATACCTCTACTATCTTTATCACTATGGGATTTGATTTGACATTTGCGTCTCTGTGCTGTGGTATGGCAACATGAACTTATGTACATACGTACGAAGTTCTACGTTGCAACTGACTGACTGACTGACTAGAACACCACAGGTCGAGTGAGAGCTTATGGCGAACTGTCATCGGAATTCTCTACTTCAAGTGGTGTGCATCAGGCCTGCCGCTTTCCCCATTCTTGTCAAATTTTGTCATTTTCAGGAGTAGACCTTCTACCAGGAGGCTCGCTTATTGACTCAGAATAAGCCGATGACATAGTTCTATTCGATGAAGATGCTGACAAAATGCAGTTTTCTGACTACCCTGAAAAACAATGCAAGCATGTTCGGGATGCCGTTCTCACCCTCGAAATGCAAAATGTTGCTTCAAGATTGGGTTTCATCGGCACCTGGACTAGTGATAGGGAGTGAAGTAGTTGAACGTGTAGACAGCTTCACTTATCTTGGGAGTCTCATCAGTGCCGATGGCCTGGTGACTGACGAAATCTCAGCACGGATACAGAAGGCTCGACTGGCTTTTGCCAACCTGCGTCACTTATGGCGTAGGCGAGATATCCGTTTGCTGACTAAAGGACGAGTGTACTGCGCAGTAGTTCGCTCCGTCCTACTATACGGATGCGAAACATGGCTAATAAGAGTAGAAGACATTAGTAGGTTACTGGTTTTTGATCTTAGATGTCTCCGAAGCATCGCTCGTATATCGTGGGACAACCGAGTAAGCAATGCTGTCGTTAGGAAACGAGTACTAGTCAGGGGTGGCAAATCAATTGATGAAGTAGTGAATCTCCATCAGTTGAGGTGGTTGGGACATGTTACGTATGCCCAACAACCAACTGCTTCAACGAGCTATGTATACTGATATACAGATAGGCTGGATGGAAGCTAAGGGGGGCCAGGGCAAATCATGGCACCAGCCCATGCAGCCAGTGACAAGTAAACTGAGCCATGTTAGTATGTGTAGACTACCTTGGTGAGGTCTGAGAGACAATCGTAACCGATGGCTCGTAATCGTTTGCAATGGCGCATCTATTATATCCATCCGTCTATTATATCTTCTATTATTAATCATTTTTATTACCGCTTATATTGCTACAATGTCTTCTACTATGTGATTTAACTGACAACCCGTTCTCTGTGTGCTTATGTTATAGTAACTTGATTTGGGGTGTACGTAAGTACCAAGTTCTACGTTGCAACTGACTTGCTGATTGAATGGTATGGTATTGAGCTGTTACGGCTGTACACCCCAGATATAGGTTAAGTCTAAATCTCAGTACAATTGACTGAGTATTAAAGGACTAAACTGATCCCATGTCACCCAGGATATCTGCATTATAATGAAAATTCCCATACTATGAAATCAAGAGCAAACAGAATAGAAATACTGCTTGAAGGGAAAAAAGGCATAGGACCACTAGAATATGAGCTCTTTAATAGACCTTGAGTGAACTATTTTTATTAATATCAAAAAATTTGTGGCTAATGGTTGAAACCAAGTCTATTTTTCCCTGCTTAACTGGTATGAAGTTGAAGTTAAAAGTGCGATTGAATAATCGGTGAACTGAAGGAGTATTTTATACAACAACACTATTACGTAGGCGTTATCATACTACATCGAAACATTGGACAGGAATCGATATAATGATTGCAACTTAAATGCAGGTTATTTACTAACCGGAAACATATTAACACATCACATCATGTATGTGTAGATAGAACACCAAATGGAAATTCCACAAGGTAAAACAATGCCTTATATTAAATAGGCAATGTGCGATTTGGCTTTGTTGTTGTAACATAGACCGACTACCACTCAAAAATCTCATCCCATAGATATCTAACAACGTTTGGTTACATAATAGACCCTTAGCTTTCCTCACTAGAGATTTGAAACATAAAGTGAAAGCCAATAATTCGATAAATAAAAAACTACCTGGGGCGTATTCGACATATTTCGCGCGGACAAATTTCCCACGTGCTATGCTGTGGGGTAGATTAAACACAGTTTGAAACCATGGTCATGTACGGTTTCACAAAAAGATAGGTCTATAAATCATACCGAGAGCTTTTCCGGGAATAGATCATTAGTTTTATGGCAACATGCCAAACTACTGTCTGAGACAGAGATTCGTGTACAGCAGATTGAATGTTGACACTGTTTCAGTTCTTTTCTAATGAGCTTTTATGGGTCTCTATTCTTCTCGAAAATGAGATGTGGACATCGCTTCTTCTGGCGGAAAGATCTGTATGTCATGAGTATAATGTTTGTCTAAGGCTTTTGTACTTGCCTGCTAGTATTCTGTGTCATTCGACTCCAGTTAACAGAGCGTCTATCAGGCCCAAAATCATTTCCTAGGATTCTGAGAGTCAAGGTTGGATGACCTCTGAATTTGTGACTCTAATATAAAAATGAAATTATTTTGCGTTTTATATTCAGACAGAGGATTTGAACTGCAGCTTGTGGACCTAGTCTTCCAACGACCTAAAAGCATGATATTTCTTTAGGTATACGGAAATGTCAAATCGGAACTGACGCCCTCGATTTCCTTAGGCTTACTATTGATGCTCAAGCTATTCACTGTGGACAAAATAAATTGGGGGTTATCCTGGTTTATTTAGAACCAAACACAGTCAAGCAACTGCGCATGTTCAACAAATTTGTGATTTCTTATCGAAGGACCATATTGAGATGTAAATTTATGTGACTTCGGAGATCTTCAACTTAGACAGCTGTGCGAAGAAAGCATTCTTCACACTGAGAAGACGTACTGAACCATCGAGTACGTTGCCATACCTTGACATCCGTCAGTATCGCAATAGCTCCTTCTGACTTAGCAACCAGGAAGTATGAATAAACAAGATTCGGAAACCGGCACCTTTTCATGGAGGCGGTTGCTAGACACTGCATCGAGATATAGCACTTTTGGAAAGGAACACCCAAGTATTGTTCTGTGTGACACTTTCGACACACGGTGAAAGGTCGTGAATTCACTTTGTTCACATACTATAAGCTTCTTGCCTTTCCTTTTAGCTTGTAATCTCTTGTACTCTCTCCAGGAGTCCAGAAAACTGGAATAAATCTCACGGTGACCTCTGAGATATAACATATTTCTTGGACAAACAATGCAGTAGCATAAGGCCTGTCTGGTTTAACTTTCCTGAATAGTTTTCAAGAAATCAAACCCGTTTAACACACCTGGCTTGAAAATAAAGAAATCGATCGTTAGCGCGAACTATACTTGAGAACCCTTCAAACATGTATGAATTAGTGAGGGAAAATTTTCTTTGAGACGCATCCGCGTGTAGAAATCGTACAATAGTGTTGGAACATTATCGGCACATTGTCATCATTACGCTGCACACACTTTATTGTCCTATTTTCCGAGCAATCATCAAAGTGACAGCGGTTCGATTTCTCTGTCCTAGTATGAACAAAAACGTGAGGAACTGAGGAGGCGCTTGTGTCACCTACAAAAGATTTGAGGTGATCAGGCATAAATAATTTTCTGTAGGCTCTTTCGCTACTCATGATATTCACATTTACCATATTCATCTTGGTGTGGTTGGACACTAAGAGAATTCAAGCAAAAAATGTTAACATGTATGGAACACTTCATACATCGGCCAAAGGCATTAATTATCAAGGAAATAATTTCTTAAATGGCTGCCGTTGTCTTCGTCAAACGAAAAATCCTAAAATTAAGCAAACGGCAATACGTAGTCAGTTCAGGGTAGGCTGGGCCAAGGCATCGTTCTGCGTTGGATTTGACGGTAACGGTCAATTATTAAGTAACAGTTACCTAAGGGATTCAGAAAGCTATGTCGGGCAGAGATTTTCTCAGATAGATGGAGGCATTGATCGACGCAACAAATAAGATGGTGACCATCAAGTACAGACAAATCGCTGCACGCGAAGTAGTAAGATTGATGATGTAGGGACTGTATCCATAATTCATAACCAAGTATCAAACATTAGTATATTGCTGGAAAAGTTTGGAAGTCTGTTCACTAAAGATGGTTCAGCATATGGGTGTTGCAACCAAATGGCTCATGAAACTGCAATAAAGAATCAAACGAAGGCAACATTTTGCACTCGTCAGCTCCCAATTCATCGTGAACCGGAAGCGAATAGCCTAGTCGAAGGAACATTGATGGTTGGCATAAATGAAGAGATATGTGATCCATTAAATCTACCCATTCTACTAGTAAGGAAGTACAACCGGAATTATAGATTCTATTTCGTCTTTAGAGCATTAAAAAGCATAGCTGAACTGAAACTCAGCAATATTCAAGCAGTAATCAAAAATCAAGATCGTGGCAACAAGCCAAAATGTTCACCGCACATAGCCTCTGGTCAGGATATCGGTAACTGCCTATAAGAGCAAGTGATAGATACAAGACGACGTTCACTGTGGATCACAGCCAATAAATGTCTGAACATGTACCACGGGAACTCTAAGGTAGGCCTTGCTTTCCGAAGACTGACGACCTTATTATTTCGGAACCTACAAAATATAGAACCATGCGGCGACGATCTCGCGGTGTACAGCCATGAAAGCAAGATAATAAGAGACCACTCGAAATCGTTTCGAGGAGAATCAAGGAGCATGGCTTACGTATTAACTAGGAGAAATCCCAGATATTTAAGACTAATATTACTATATTAGAGCATAAAGTTGGAGGAAATGCAACGAAATCATTCCCATCATCAAGAAGATGACATAATATAACTGCAATTGGAAACTACATTTTATGGCCCCTTTTGAAGAACGTTAACGAGATTGTTGCAAAGTTCTATAGTCTTCTTAGTTACGACACGTTTATATGGATTGAAGAGGTACATAAAACGTTTGATATGATCAAAAAACTAGTAGACAACGAAAAAATGAAGCTGGAATTGCTTTTCTCCGGTGAACACTTCAAACTTTTCATAGTCGTCAGCGATTATGACATTGGTGCGGTTCTTCAGCAAAAGGATGAGGTTGTGAAATGTGTTTTCAGTGTGTTAGCACTTTTGAAAAAAATGCTTGGCAATAATTTGTACGCTTAAAAATGGAGACCGTGTCTGCCTGTTGAACGATTTTATATCGAGAATGATGAAGGACCGCTACAGTGGTCATAAAGATCAAAAGGCTCCATGCAAAATGACCACGATGGCCTTCAGGAATATTATTTTACGAATGGTCACGTAATGGGAAAGAAAAAATGTCGTTTCAGTTCATCTGCTGCGATCTAACTGAATTGGCTCTTGAAGTCATCATATGACATCTGATCCAGGAACACTTGTTCTGCGTCAGGAATCCAACCTAACTCTCAAGTCTATGAGATGAGCGCTTATCAAGAGAACTGATGACACTACACCGAGGTTAACCAAGAGTGTACCCACGTTCCAAAACCAGAGAGGCCGACTAAAACTGAAAGCTGCAGCGGTGCATTTGCGACTGCAGACCCACGCGGGAGCAGGGTAACTGAGGTATTATTGCAGCACGTTGTGGCAGACCACAATGCCCTGAAAATAGTATTTTTAGATTAAGGTCCATATCTTTGTAACAGCAAGATTACATCCTCGCCCATACTATTTGGTCATCATAAAGATTCACTCAATTCCATCCACAGAATAAAGGGTTAACAGAATAAAAGAATTGTACATTAAGGGGATGGTTGGTTGATGTACGGTAGAAGACTACGTCTGCCAAGAGACATTAAGAAATGCCCGCAACCTCAGAGACTGGATCGTAATTAGTGGAGGGACGAGAGAGAACAAGAACATACAACAGAAACAAAATGTGGATTTAAAATGATCCAGATTGTGTCAAAGCGGACAGTAAAAGCTCTCCTTAGTGGCAGGCAAGGTGAAAAATAGCGAAAAGAACTGACAGCAGGAGGCACACTTGTTTCACAAAGACTGCTCTCCAAGTGGAATGGACCATACTCAGTCATCGCGGGATGCGGGCTGGCTTATACCAACAGGAAAGGTTACAAAAGGCAACGCCTAAACACTGGTCAGCTTCGGCAGTGGATTCAGTGGACTGACCATTTAGAAACCATGAAATAGAGATTGTTGACAGGACTACGGGGATTGGCCTTCCTAAAGGCTCGACAGTTTGCTTGAACGGCAGTTGAATCTGGTGGATGCTACTCATAAAGTGGCACATAAGTAGTTCGTGGCGCTGCCTGGGAAGTGCTACCAGTGAGAGGATTGAAAGGAGAGTGAGATGCATGGTGCGATCAGTGTAGTTTGATATATAGGTGAAGACAGTTACTAATCTACTTGTTTTGGAAATTAAGGACTGAAGGAGAGGTGTACGCATTTATTTAGTTAAACGATATCTTCTCTAAAAACATATTTAATCCGTCTGATCTGAACTTCTTCATACAACACCACTCATATGCCCAGACATAGACCCCAATAAATAAATAGTTTAATAATACTTACAAACACAGGTGAAATTAAAGTTTTATGCCTTTTAAATTGAAAATGATGAAGGTGAGTTTTATTTTTCAAACTCTGTTGTCCATCTTGGAAACTCATAAAGAGTGTTAAACTCGGCTACCCTTTAGAGGTCGATATTACCTGAGTAAGAAAAGCATCATCAACCTGCATCTAAATTGTCCTGATTTTACTTGCCATCCAAAACAGAGAATTTAATAGGAAACTGAAAAAGTTTTTGACTCAAGAAATAATTTATTGTCAGATGTCTACTGACTTTCCTTTCCAATCGTCAACGAGTAGAATTCGTTACCCAGACACTTATATGAAGCTCCATCTGTCGATACATTCAACAGAAGGCTGGATAAACTGGAAGGTCCAAATTTCTAGGACTAACACTGCCACCCAGCCTTCTATTCTTTTCAAATTGAAAGTGAACCGATTTACAAATGCCCTGAATGTATTGTGGACAATTGAAGTGTTCCGCAAGGTCAGTGGTATGTAGTAAGCATCGGTGAACCACTGCTGGGATTACTGATTATTGTTCGGTTCACTGACACGCTTGTTATTTAGGAAAATTGGGTTAGTTTGTGGAAAAATTCCATCGTTTTTTTCTAAAGTTATCACCAAAACTGTCAGTCTGATACAACTATATCATATACCCAACCAAACAAGAGTATGGAAGTATGGGCGAACTTTGGGGAAATAAAGGCAATATTAGCTTAAAAAATTGGGTATAAATTCAAGCGACATTGTAACTCACACTAGCCTCTTAAGATGCTTATTGTGGGAAAATGGTGAGACGTTTCAGTTTCAGTAATAAGGACAGTAGGTCAGTCGACCTGTGTTAATTCTTGCAGATTATTTTCCAGTGGAGGCCCAGCCTTTCCTTGAAAGTGTTCACTGATGGGGGGGGGTGATTTTACTTGTTCGCGTAAGACGTTCTAGTCAGTGAACGCTGGATGTGGAAAGTAGGATCCCACCATAATCTTATTTGACCTCAGTTTTTGAATCTTGTAGTGGCCTCGAAGAAGATTAGTTCTGGAGACAGAAGAAAGATGAGTTATATTGTAACTTTAAGTGTTAAACAAAATACAGAATGCCAAAATAAGGTCACTTTGCGTCCTACGTTGAGATAAAGGAACAGGGTTTAGGCGCTCATCGTAATGTAGTTTGGGGACACCCGTCACTAACCTAGTCTCCACACGCTAGACACGCTCTAGTGCTGTGAAATGCTCTCTCGTTATCAGTAAGTTAAGTATGAGTGCTTATTATGAAACCCTTATTGCTCAGGTGTTAACAGGTTGCATAGTTCTACATGACTGGATAACTTATTCTAATTTAAAGTAAATTAACTACCGTGCAGGTTAGGCTGACAGGTCGGTAGTCAGGCATATTTTATCTCTTACCATATTTAAACATAAGGCTAGTTATAAAATCTTTCCAATCCTCAGAGAGTTTAGCCTGGGAAAGTGACTTGCGATTGTGGGTGTAGCCCATCAGGGCCTGGTGACCTACCAGGTTTAATATTAATGAGCTATTAAAGAACAGCTTCCTCAGTCACATGTACTGGCTAGTTTCTCAGTGGTATGGTGATTATAAGTGTTTCTAAAAGTACCAGTAAAGAATACCTCACTGCAATAGTTTGATAAATCTTGAGCCTTGGCCAAATCTTATTCAGCTAGTCTATCTGTATTTTCGTGCAGCAATAATGGGAAAATTCCATCACTATGCATTTTCCTTCGCTTCATGTACGATTACGAACGTTCTGAGAAGTTAAAGCTATTGTATTCCAGCTTTCGCCGAAGTTAAACGTAAAATGCCGCTTAAATTTATGCCACTGACAATTCAATCTCTGTGTGCTAATGTGGTATGGAAGCATGAACTGATGTACGTACGAAGTTCTGCGTTGTAGCTGACTGACTGACATTTACACCATATGTTACCCTAATAGCCTGGAAATTCGCCTGTACTTCTTCAAGAAAATAGACTTGGTGATAATGTCAATTGACGCGAACTGGAAAACTGATCTTAATCATTAATATTCAAGAAAAACAACAAGAATTTCAATAAAACGGATTGTCCCTCACTGGAACTGATAAGTACTGTCATATTCATTTGATCTCTGAGAAAGGAAGAAACGTCAGCTTGTGAATGATCTCAGCACAGCTGCTAAAGGTGATGAAGATGTGCGTTACAAAATTAATTTATTAAGATATCGCAAAATGAGCGATACATTCAACTCTTCATTAAACAGTGATCCATCAGTCGCAGTCCTGGTCATGGATGAGTGTATTTTGAAACGTGATAGAGAAATACAGTAATGGAGAGATATAATCCAAAATATATAGTGGTCATAGATCATAAAATGAGCCAAAAAGCATATTCGTGTTACACAAAATACCCCGATGTGCATGGGGAAGGAAAACAATCAGTTTTTCAGTAGGAATTATGACGTACGTAATTCTTTCCACTTTGCTAACGCTTGCTTGATTTATCTCACATCATGAATGGAACCCTGTGTTGTGATGTCTAAAAGTTTTCCAAGGCCTTTTTCCATTAACAATGAGGATTTAATTTCTGGTGTTATGGCACCTAGAAAACAATAATCCAAACAATCCATCATTACTTGTTATTATTCTCTTATATCAAAGTTTACTGTTCCAAGTCTACGAATTTCCCCTGCAAAAAAACGTTTCATTCAAATTGTCTACGTCATGGAGAAACAAGAAGACTTTTCACTCTTATCTCCCCAATCTTTGAATTGGGTACGATAATACTGTTCGCATTATTTCGTGTTTCCACTCAGCGAAATTCGCTGCTGTAATATGGTATTTAGTTGCCTTTCTGCTATTCACTTTGTGTAGCACATTTCTTGACTCCCTAACATACCGGGAGTATGTATACTTGGTGAACGACTCTGTTTCTCATTCGAATTTCACGCTAATCTTTTATTAGGATTCTTCGTGATATCAGTCATGAAAGTTGATAAAGAACATCTCATATACACTCCCAACTACTGGTCTGTCAAAATTATAATTATTTCTACTGGCTAAGTGAAGAAAATGTGTACAAACTCTCAGAATATCTGCGGGATTTTGACAACTTACATTGTGGATACGTTGTATTCGTGTCTAATATTAACAAATCTGTAAGTTGTTATTAACTTTCACACCAAACAGGTTGGTTTGTTCGCTCAAGTAAAGGGAGATCCTCAGATGGATCATTTCATTATATGGGTAATTAAACCTCCAAATTTACTGTTATTTATTCCTTTAAGGACTATCACGTCTTCCTCATTTGCCACAGTGAACATAAGTACTGGGTTTATGACTTCGACTCACTACTACCATTCCCCTCTCCGTTCATCCAGTATGTAACTCATGGACTTCGGCAAAATATCATCCTTCCAGAAAAACTACACAGGTAAGATTTTTCTGGTCGTCAATATAGGTTATTTTTGAACTACGTATACACAGTGTGGTCTTAATTCTTGTGTTATCACCAACCATTCATGAAGTTCTGATGCCTAGAATTTGATGAAAGACAAAGAATGGATGCACCTGCGCTACTGCGAACGATTTTGAGTCATATTATTCAGTACCTAAACACTGGTTACAATTATCACGTGGACTCCAACCAAGTCTCTACACTTGTTAACATGGCTTATTCCAATTGTCACTTTCATTGGCTGGTTCTTTTTCTTGGTTTGGCCTTTCCTAACTTCCTTCGAGCTTACTCCTACACCCGATAACATCACTCACCGTGGTAGGCGGTGATTTGGCATACGGAACACATACTCAAAACACCCCAGTCAATCAGTCAGTTACAACGTAGAGCTTCGTACGTACGTAAATCAGTACAAGTTCACAACACCTCACTACCGCATCAGTAAATTTTCCATTCTCACCTAGTATTCTATTTCTAACTCAGGTGTTGTTTACTCAGTGGTCTTAAAATCCACGAACAATGCTTGGAAGATACCTATGATCGAATACCAGTAGCCTACAAATATCTTCTATTCTTAATGGTCGTGTTGGACGCATAAAGTAAAACAGTCCTTTGTTTGGTAGACGAACATCTTGCCTACGCCATAAGTAATACAAATGCAAAGCCAGTCGAGCCTTCTGTATCTGTGCCTTTAGATTGTTAATGTACTTCGGCACCTGTGCCATTGCAAACGAACTTGAGCCATGTCATTCAAAGTCACTAACCATCGGTTACGATTGTCTCTCAGACCCCACCAAGGTAGTCTACACATACTAAGATGGCTCAGTATAGTTGTCACTGGCTGCATGGGCTGGTGCCATGTTTCATTCTGGCTTCCCTAAGCTTTCATTCAGCCTACCCCTACATCAGTATACACAGCTCGTTGAAGCAGTCGGTTGTTGGGCATACATAGCACATGTCCCAACCACCTCAACTGATGGAGATTCACTACTTCATCAATTGATTTGCCAACCTTCCATAGTACTTATTTCCTAACACCAAAATTGATTGCTCGATTGTCCTAGGATATACGAGCAATTCTTCGAAGACGCCTACGTTTAAATACTTGTAGCTTACGAATATCCTCGCTTATTAGTGGCTATTTTCACATCCGTATAGTAGGACGAAGCGAACTGCTGCGCAGTAAACTCGTCTTTTGGTTAGTAGACGAACATCTCACCTACGCCGTGACACAAGTCGGTAAAAGTCAGTAGAGCCTTTTGTATCCGATATTTCTGTAATTTATAAAATGTGATAGTTGAGCTAAAAGTGGAAGTTATGTGTGTGCTCGTAGAACTGTGTTGATAATAAATTGACCTAAATGTGTTTATTTGGATAAACAGTCCAGGTTTGATGAATAATTAGGCATTCCTCCCTATTATGGGCAGAAGGATATAGCGTATAATGAAACGCTTTGGCAACTCGCCTCTCTTTATGGTTGGCAAAACTTTGATTATTTTGATATACAATTGTGGATGTGATTTGACTACAAACATCATCCTGTCTACTCCATATATTTACTTTATTTCTTACTACATATCACTCTTACACTTTTGCCTAAGAGCACAATTGTATTATTGACCTTACACTTAGATTGATCAGCTTTTGAGTTTTTGTAAGCCGATAATATTTGCAAACATCTGTTATCTAATAAATTACTTGTCTGTATCTATGGTGAATTTATAATCAGGAAATTTGTTTCAAGTATTGTTCACATGTATTACATTTATCTGTATGCTATGTACTGATGCGTCATTCCTCTTTGTTGTCCTAGATCCTATCGCGTTATCCCTGTCGTTGACTATTTAAATCATTTTTCATCAGATCGTAGACATATGCTGCGTGAGGATGGCAACTGGATAGCACCACCACCATCTTATGAATGCATACGTGGACAAAGTTCAAGTTCATCACATACTTTACCCTTCTACTTGGATACCACAATTGATACAGTTGAAAACTTATCATTGACTAGCAATGTCTATGGAACTGTTTTACATGAAAGCGAGTTTTTCAAGAAATTCTCCAGTGTTTAATTAATCATACCCATTTTGAAATGATGTACTATAAGAGTTCATTCGACTGACTACAAAGTTTCTTTGCAGTCAACACAAAATATATGTTCAGTGCTCTATACCGATTTTACTCGAAAACCCAACATCAACTGTAGACATGATATATTGCCGTCAAGTCGTTTAGCTTATCGACTATAATGTTCAGACATTATATTCTGACTATATTTTTTATATATTGTTACTTCTATGATAAACTCAGCATCTTTCTAATATTTCAGAATTCCGAACAACAGTAATCTTTATATGTACTCTGTGACTTACTTTCAAGATATATTATTATGATAAAAATTGATTTGTCGCTTTCAGTTACTACCAGGTTGTTATATTCTATCTTGAAACGGTAGAATTCAAATACTAATATGGATTTAGTTCTAACTGAATTTTTAGCTACAAAGACTTCAACAGTATACGATCGAATACTAAATGGTAGGTAGGCAGGTACTTACCACCACATATAGGAAGTGTTTGTTGGCCAAATTGACTTATAGATCAATATTAATGTCATTTTCGCCATATGCAAGTATCTATTGAGTGTTTTTCAGAAACCAAAGTAGTTAAAGTTGATATAAAAGTTCGGTATCCACGCTCCAGTCTACCAGAAAACTTCTCATGTAACTTTTTTGTTATTGTAGTGTTTAGTCGGACAACGAGTTTGCGTAAATATTTCCCCTCTTTGGAGAGTCATACAGATTATCGAATTCTAGTTCCATTGCTACTTTTGACTTTTGAGAGTCCATCTTATGAAAGTGAGCTAAAATATTCAAACCCATCACTTTAGCTAGTAATTCTGTGAGCTAGAGAAAAAATCGAAGTCGAACATAACTAGTTCAGTTCTCTATAGTTGGGCACAGACAAATTTATATTTTCGTTCACAACAATGTAATCCAATGGGTAAAACTCATAGATTAAATTGTATGAATCTAAGTAAACGAAGGGGACTAGTTCTTTGATGCTTCATAGGCGTACTAATCAGAACATTATTTCAATGATTTTAGATTCTGAGTTATAGAGAATGCTAAAATCTGTCTTTCACTATCATATAAGTGAAGTACAATTATAATTTTATTCAAGCTTGTAATATAATTCACTTTCATTGAGCAATAGGGCAACTTTAAAAACACCAACATGTTCTTTATATCAACATCTAATAAACTATAACTCGTCAATATCAAACATTTTCTAACTGTGATCACATTAACTCTTATTAATCAAAACAGACTGATATAAACTGGAGAACTTCTGAGAACTAGGGAGAGATGATCAGATCTCTCACTTGGTTCTGGTACTCTTCATTAGTACTCACGTAGTAACCTCACTACGGATGAAATCCAGAACTGCCATGTATGTTGATCCACATTTCAACTTCATTCCGAACATAATCTAACGCGACTGCTGTTCAGTGCTATGAGTGATATTCATCTGATTCTTTGTGTGATTGAAATCTGTCGGTCATGGTTTCTTAGTACAATATACACTTTTCTAAATTCAACCATATTACTGAACAACAATCTTTATGCACCTGGACAATTAGCGGTCATTAAAATATACAGTTTTGTCTTCCTCTAAAAATGTGACAATTGTTGGATTAGCGCTTTACATAAATTAGTCTTTCAACCTTTTATTCAAAACATATACCAAATAAATAACTTGTTAAGTCAAAATATAGATGCCTAAAATAACACTATTTTTGATTATGTCATATATGATTTTTCGCTCCTCTCAATATTTGTAACGTAACCGTGAATGGATAAATCTTCATTCCGCTTTATTTGTTGTTAAGTTTCTGTGATGCTCAAATCTCTAGCGAAGTCACAGTAATAGTTACCACTCACAAATAGTTAAGCGAATAAATGACCGAAAGCGTTAGATACGTTATACTTAGTAAACATGGGAACGGAGATTCTATAGATTTTTAATACACTTCAATATAGAATATGTGCTCCTTAAACGCAGTTGCTGAAGAAATTCGTAACTAAACAGCCATGAAAAGAGAGCTTGAGAAAGTTCTAGTCATGGGCAAAAAGACTGTATATACTCCTAAAATTTAGAGATGAGGCACCTGGTGAAGTGCTAATACTATAGTTGCAAAGAGTCTTTAATGCACGTATACTATAATGAATATTTTTTGCATATCTGATAGTCATTCCAACATTGAAAGCTAAATTACCTAGACTAGCTCTCGCTGTATCTGTCAATTCAACTGCTCTTGTGAAGCAAGTTACTTTGGCAAAGTCCTAGGAATTTGTATTCTTGTTCTCTCGAACATCTCCCAGAGTAGCGATGCTGAAGCATAGTTAACAGCTCGATTCTAGCTCGTTTGGTACAAACGGGTCGTACAGCCGATACGGAACAATCATTTACAATAATATATTATGTTAACATCAATATGCCTAAATTCGTCAAACTAAGAATCCTTCAAACTGCTGAGAAAATAGCTATTCGAATCTGAAGCTGAAATATTTTTAACCATTCCTTTTAACTTAACCAACTTCTGGCCAAACTAGTTCATCATTTGGATGATATCGTGACATGGTCTGATTCATGTTTATCCAACCTTCTTCTTTGCATTTTCATAGCTTAAAATTACAAACATTATTATTATCCTTGAAAATGTTTTCAGAAATTCATTCAACATCCACCCCTATTCACTGATTCGTCCTAAATTCATATTCTATGTATTACGTGATTTCATGCAATTTTCCGTATTTGTAAACTTGAATAAAGGAAGGACAAATATTGTAGCAGAATAACATGAATTCACTTATTTCGTGGATGCTCTTTAACTGCTAACAACCTGAAATCATAGTAATGATCATTAAAATGAAACAAATGTACATAGTTTATGTCGGAATTATCAAGAATAACTAGAGTTTAAATATGAAGATAGACTAATATTCAGATATCATAATAAGGAAGAATAAAACTGTTCACACGTTCGTTCAATTTATAAATTAAATCTCTGAATATTTTGGAAGGACATGGAAAGAAAAAGCATTTCGAAACAGAAATTCGATTACGTAATATAGAATAGTTCAGTAAAGCTCAGAAGTTAGAATTAAGGTATTAGAATTCTGATTAAATTTTATAGGAACAGAAAAAAGCTGCCTTACATAAACTCACAATAGATTAAGGTCATGAGAGTGAAACAGTACTGATAACTGTTCTGTTATGGATACACGTTGATTCAGTTAGAATCTTTTTATTGCAACAGCCTAAGTAATCAGTAACAATTATGAATCCCTTCATTTGCTGATTATTTAGAAAGATTTAAGGACTTCAATGTCGTGACCACTGTCGAACAGGTGGCGAGCGACTGCGCTCTTGAAAATCTTTTGTCCATTTAGTCTCAACTTTTCTGAAATACGTTCGGAGATATGGACAAGAACCCTCCTTTCTGTTCTTCTCATGCACATGCTTTAACACCTACATGGAAACTGGTTAGCAAAATTAAAGACAACATAAGGCGGGTAAAATAAAATGAGCTAATCCAGATCCTCAGGGTTTCACTTCAGTAAATGCTTTACTATTAACTGAATTCCTTTGTCTTCACGTGATTCCTGGTTCGTGATTACACTGTTATCTCTCTCACTCCATACAAACCATATTCATTCTGATCATTAATATCACAATTTTATTTTACGTGTAAACTCATTCAAGTGAACACTTCATACTAGTCATCCTAATATTAACGATTTATATTACAAATAATAGTATATTCACACCAAATATGTTGCCTTAAATCTAGCTACTTTGACCTATTATTCCCCACGACTGGAGAATCACAATCCTACTTAATAACAGTTTGCAGGACTCTATTCCTGAAGCATGTCAGTAGTAGGGGATTTGATTTCGGCTATTAACACTTCAGATGCTTGACTTTCACTTTCAAAACAAACATTTGATGTCAAAATGCTCACTAGTAAATTATTTTTATGGTATAACTGTTCACAAACATTTCTCACAAAAAATCATCTATCCTAAACGAAACGTAATTCCTACCTAAAAAGTATTTTCAGGGTATTGATGTGCAGTAAGCTATGTTGATGTGCATTGTTTAATCTACCTTCTGATCAAAAAGTATACAAATGTCTGAAAGTTACGATTTCCTCTACATTATTTTACTGAAAAGCTAATCTTGGTTACAAAACAGGTAAAGTCATTAATCAGCATTATTGAAGTTCAATATTCCTACTTCTACTTTGTTGTACTTAAGTCATCATTGAAATTTTAGAAAATGATCAGCATTTCTGAACAGTACAATGCTAACATGAAATGAGTACTAATTTCTCCTCGTCTGTTTATAAATTTAATTGTGACTAACACTGACAATCCTTCATTCCCATTTGCCTGTCACAGGTGTGAGTTATATGTGTCCTTAAATGTTATTGATCGATTTCATATTGCCTGTCTTCTAACTCACATTTGATTGGTGGGTTTTGAGCATGAGAATTATTACGAAGTACTGTCAGACTAGTTAGACATTGAGTAAAGTCTAGGAAAATAGTTTGAACAGTACTCGCTATCGGTAGGTCACCATTTCCTATTTCCTTTAAAAGTTAAATTACTTTTGAAAATTCACTGTGCATTTATAATCTAGCGTTTTCTCATTTACACCGAGGAATTATAGTGTTTAGAGTAATGGTTGCATGAATCCACTTATGAACACAAAGGAAACTTCAATTTTTTATTTCTAAACATATGACGAGTTTAATAGTTTCATGCTTCTTATTAAGCTGTTTAGATGTGTCTTTTATTTAGTGTTTCTATGACAAAGCATAAGCAGTACGCATTCATATAACAGTACTTTCATCAAGTGTAGAATTAACCCGATGAAAAGACATTGATAACCAATGTGTCTTTGCATAAAAATCAATTACAATTCATAAAATAGAATTTTCTTTGTAGCCAAGTCGTTTACTTAAACTATTTATAGGTATTTGGTATGAGTCGAAAAGAAAGCTTTCTTGGTCGACTTCTATTTATTAGTTGATTGGATAACAGCTAACAAGAATTTATTATAGCGAAGTATAGATAATTAGTTTTCATTATTTCCATAGATTTATAATTGAACTGGGTCTTCAGAGTATTTGATTATTGATGATTATATTTTATTGTTGTATCTAATAGGCTTTTAGTAGAATATACTTAGGTATTTCTATTATCCACTAGCAGGTTTTTCAGACATTAGCTGAACTATACCATAGGATCATCGTTGATCTAAATGTTTCAGTGAATAACCGTCCAGTTTCGATTTTCTAGTCACTGGAAAGAAGCCCGAAATTTAGCTTTGAAGTCATGT